CCTCTTTGTGTCAGTATTTCACTTGTAGAATGTTAGTGAAGGTAAACATTAAGCCATTTGTATGCTATTACAGTCACACTGTAGAAAAACGAGAGGCTAGAAGAACTGCCCTCAGCAAGGAAGTCTCTAAGCCATGGTGGTTGTGAATAATCAGGAAAAGTTACGACTTAATTCAGGAGAACAATGTTGTGAGCATCAGAAGAAGCCTTTCCTGTTAAATTAATTTAAATGAAATTTTCACTACTGCTTTTGAGAAGAAAATTCTGTTAAGAATTCCAGTAATTTACTCCTGTTGGCATGGCAGCAGAGTAGTTAATGAATTAAATGCAATGGTACTAATTTTGATTGATACTGTATAATTATGGTGTCAAAGGTATTTAACTTTTTAGCAGGGTGTAAATTTGCATCAGACTTCCAGACTACCCTTGAGAGAAAAAATACATAAAATGGGAAAACCTAGACACTCCCCCAACCTGAGCCATTTTACAAAAGAGTATGAGAGTTAAAAGGTTTTACTAGTTCAGCCTACTTCCATGTCAGTAGCATATATCTGAGAATCTCCTGAATGTGTTAGTGTCTGAAAAGCAAAAAGTAAATGTTCTCTCTGAATTTTGATGTCAGCAGCAGCAGAGTATCCTCTGACAGCCCTCTGTGGTCTTCTAGCTTTTTTCTTTCCTAATAGCTATAGTCTGACTGGAGGTCTTAAAGCTTGAAGGTAAAAGCCTTCCAAACTATGTTGAGCTGCTTTGTTCTCACTAGGAAGAAATAAAACTTAATTTTTTACCTAAAATGAAATTTATGGAGAATACAAGAGATCCGATTTTTCTGGCTGTGACTCTTGAAGCAAGTGTTCTTTAACTTGACAAGCCAAGCATGAAGGGATACACTTTCTTGAATTCTGTATGGGATTCATTTTTTGTTGTGTAAGATTTTAATGTATTTTTGATTTATTGGAATTACGTGTTGATTAGTATTGCGAGAGGTTTTATTAATGTCAGAAATAGTGCTTCACTGCTCACGAAGGTGAAAGTCAAGATGGCTGTGATTTCAAAGGTTGATAGTAATCTATACACCTTCCTTTATAAACAACTCCACCTTTTCTAGAATAAGGGGTCTCAATTCTTAAAACTTCTTATAGACCATTATTTTTTGCACTTGATTCTACGACACCCTATTTTTTTTTTCTTGTTTCTGTGTTGGGAACACCCCATGTGTGGAGACGCAAGGCTTGACTCCATTTTCAGAAGGCTGGTTTATTATATTATGATATATATATTATATCAAAGTACTACATTAAAACTATACTAAAAGAATAGAGAGAAAAGATTGATTAGGAGGCTTGAAAGAACAAGAATAGAATGCATAATAAAATCTTGTGACTCTCAGAGTCCGATGCAGCTGCATCTGTGATTGGCCATTAATTAGGAACAACCAACATGCACCAATCACAGCTGCACCTGTTGCATTCCACAGCAGCAGATAGTTATTGTTTACATTTGTTTCCTGAGGCCCTCAGCTCCTCAGGAAGGAAAAATCTTAACAAATGATTTTTCATTCACCCTGCTAAAAATATCATAACTACATTTCTGTTTTTTGCCATTTCATAGTCATTGGTTCAGATTCTCCTTTTTCAGGAGGTTCTCTGGCTAGTGAGTTTTATAGCTCCCATTGATACTTCATCTCTATCTGTCTTTCTGACCCAGAAGAATTTGTGCTTCACTGAGCCTCAGGAGCATTTTGTAAGTAATTTTAAGAACTTAGTTTTGACTCTGCTGAGTGTGCTACTTTTGCTTGCCATATAGTTTAGGGCAGGTCAGGCTTGGTGCTTTTGGAAATCCTGTCCTGCCTTTGTTTCTGATGTGTATGTGTAATAGGCATTAGTCCTTAACAATCATGTAGTTGAAAAGTTGTAGAAGAGTTGAGTTTACATTGTAGTAATGTTACTTATCAGTTTGTCATTCAGCGTCTTCAGTGACAGCATGTTTGGTTGGAGATGAAACTTAGGACCCTGCGAAAGCTTTGGATGCAGGTGGCTTCTCAGGGGTGCTGCTCTGTGGGCTGTTCTCTGCTGTGGCAGTGTTCTGTGGGTGCAGGAATTCAGTCATCTGCTAGGCACTGGGCTTTGAAGTCACCAGCCTGAACACTCAGGGGAATTAGGTGCTCAAGTCCTTTCTCCTTGTGACTGGTTACAAAATAGGTTGTAGGCTGATATCCAATGCCATGGGAGAAGCAGCATCTTTTCCCTGCAATGAATCATCTCATGTTTATTGAAGTCCACTGGTGAAACTTGTCCTGGCTGTCTTCATTCCTGTGGTAGTCATTGTGGTAATAATCAGCCAAAGCACATATGTCAAAAGCCTTTTGTTTTTATTCTGAAGAGAAAGACAGAGCTAATAAAAATATTTTCATATGTTTATGATGGCATGAGAACACTTCATAGAGGCTTCTTTATTTAGGAATTATAATGCTCATAGGAGATGTCTTCCGAGGGTAAACTGAGAAGGATATTTTCCACTGGTGCTTGTTTCTTGTTTCTTTTGAAAATCTGAGTTCATTAATAGGACATCCTGAAAGGCCTGCTTACTTCTCTTAGGAGATGAAGGGACTGAAGGCTATGTAGGGTAGGGAGGAAAATATTTTTTTATAAGTCTGTATGAGAAAGATATCTGAACTTCTTGTGGTTATTTTTCAGCAGTTTCAGATACTGTTAGATTCTGCTGAGATCAAATGCTAGTTACTTTTAGTGTTTTCAGACAGCATTCTCTCTCCTTAGGTTTTTGAACAAGCTTTGCCTACAATTTCAATACTTCTAATGTTATTAATTATATAAGACTTTTAAAGCTTTGTACTGCTGTTCTGCAGGTGACTTGCTGTTTTATGAGAACAGCTTTTGCAGGCTGTGGCAGAGAAATGGGGGAAGTGAAGTGTTCCGTGGGTAGGTGGCAGATTCTGAGATCAGAGGGGTGAGCCTGCAAGGATTCCTCCTCTTGCTTGTAGTACTGCATATTGATAGCTGGAACATAGCAAACAACAATTGTCAATTAACACGTTTTGGTTTGTTCAAGGGTGATGTCAGAAAATAGCCTTTTTCAGTAGAACCAAGTTCTTTCTTCCCTCCCTCCTTACATACGCCTACAGTGATGTTTTTTCAGCTCTACAAGTGTGTGTTTTCTCACTCTCTCTGCTGTGTAGGCGCCCTTCCCAATCACAATTGAGCTTCACAGGCAATCTTTTACCAAAAAAAAAAACCAAAAAAACCATCTTTACACAGCAGGTCTATAATCTAACACCAAAGGAAATGGAGAGTTCTGGGTCAGAATTGTGATGTGTCTTAGTAAATGCTTGAATTGGTAAAGAATTTCACCCTAAAAAAAAAAAAAAGAAATGGTTCTCTTGACCAGAATTGACCAGAAGGCCATTCACTATATGTGGAAATTACTGTTTTACATTCTACCCAAATGATTTACCAAAATGCCACTTGCAAATGGTAAACAAATAGACTTTAAATCTTACACTTGCTTCGTTAGGCTAAGTTATAATTAAGCTTTTCTGTCCTAGAATTAGAATGTGATTCTAATGAAAAAGACAAACTCAGTTTGTTGACAATATGAAAGTTAAAATGCAGCTCTTCTGGGAGTGTTCTCTCTGCCTTTTGTAAACTGCATTTGATGCACTGTGTTATTTTTTGTGTACTGCAACTCTTTTGCTGGTGCTTCTCATTTCACCAAGGTCTTAATTTCACACAATATTTTGTAAATAAGCCTAAACTTAACTTGCAATAAAACCCCCCCAACTGTATTTTTAATTGCTCAAAAAAGATAGCAATAATTATTTTCTTGAGTTCTGTTGATAACAGTATTTGGCATTTCTTAAAAAAATTTTGTTGATGCTAGTGTTCTTGCCACCAGGTAGGTATTCCAAGTTTATTCAACTCTGTAAAGAAATACTTTTGCGAGAGCAGCAATGGGTGGATTAAAATTTGCTTATCAACGTATCAAATTTCAGGACCAATTATTACACATAGCCCTTGTACCATGGTTTTATGTGCAGTTTGTGCTGCCATTGCAGCTGAAAGGAACTATCCTCCTCTGCTTCTCCTGTCTGATACCTTTTCTGCCTCGTGTCAGCACAGGTGCTCATGTAGCTGTGCAGTGAACTGGATTGGGGAAAACCAGGCTGGAGAAGAATCTAGGTCTTTTTCTTTAGACTCTTTACTTAGAGCTGGATTTTAATCTCTCTGATATGATTCACTGTACATCTCCTCTAACACGTGAGCTTGGTGGGAGTAGAGTAGACAAAAATTTCATTGGCAGTATGTGCTCTGCCTCCAGCTTGTGCCTCTGCGGAGTTCTTGGGACTGCAGCAGAAATCTCCATGGTTACATCTGTTTGCCCGGTCTAATTTTAGAGGACTCATATCATCTAGAGATGCAAGCCTTCTGTAGCAATAGACAGAGGTCAGATGTTAAGAGCATTTCTGAAAAAATACAGATTATAATACAGGACCTGGTAAATACCAGCTCTGAATCTTTACATTTCCTTTTACACTTGGAGACTTTTTAGGGTACTGCAGCTGGTGACTTAGATAAAACTCCTGCTCTCCCTTGTTTTTGGCATGTGTTACAGACTTTATGTTGAGCAGTGAGGGGAAAAAAGTGGGCCACAGCACTGCTAAACGTCCCCTTTCTTTCAGGCATTGCCAAATGTGTGTTTAATCTCTAAATGCCTGGCAGAATGTGTTCTGGAAGAAAATGACGATTCAGAGAAGGGGTGATAAAAGAAGGGTTGGGATTCTTGTAGTGAGAAAACTATCATACAGGCTTTCTCAGATGTGTAAGTTATGCGCAAAAATCAATAGATTCACAGTTTTATAAGCCTTCATTGTTGCTCCTGGCTTCTCACAAGCACAATTTTCAGAATACCCTTTACCTTTTGAAAAGTATTTCATTTGATTGCTTCCCATTCAAATTTTGTTCATGCCCATGATCTTTTTGCTTCTAGGTTCCACTGTGGTATGATTCATCAGAAGTAGATTGTGACGTCTGCTGGGAGTTTTTGCTGAAGCTGCATGTGTCTGCTTTCTCAGGAATTTGGATAGGTAAGAGTGCATGTTCTGCTTTCTGTACATTCTGACCTTTTGGCATACTGCTAGCTGTCACAAACTGAGGGCTGTGTTTGACTGCTGATAGTGTGTAATGTTTCATGGAGTGTGCAAGGGGTGGTCTCCAGCAGGATGCTTTATCCTGGTAGGCTGGCTGCCACAGAGTGCCAGACTCCATCCCAGGCTGTTGCTGAATGCTTCCTCTATACATCAGTGTTTTTCCAGGAGGGACATGCAAGGGAACTAGATGGCTATTCCCTCCCCCTGCTTTCTACTAGGTATGTGTAGAAGGGTTTGCAAAAGCAGGTTGGACTGTGTTCAGGCTGTGACGAATGCCTGCTTTTGTCACATTTCCTGAAACACCAGAGTTCCTGTAGGTGGTTTCTTTTAACCCACTTGTGAAACTAAACTCATATTGTAAGAAAGAAAAGGATAATTCTTCTGGATGTGCCTGATCCTTGAGAAAGACTGGCTTTTAGTCTCTCCTTTCATGAGATCTCTCCTTTCACTTAGTAATGTAGTTAATTAAAAGGTAAAATGCATGCAACAATTGTGAGATGCTGCAGTTTTGCCCATGCAGCCTTGCCATCTGCATTGTACCAGATGCACGTCCTTGACAGGTGTGTAATGACCTGGTTCAAGATGGTATGTGAAGAAAGGTTGGGAAATTGCAGTGTGTGGGTTTGGGGTGTGGAAGGACGAGAGACGGGGAGCAGTGGTGTTGGTTTTGCAAAGATGGGCGGGGTTGGATTTGTTTTCGGATGGATCAGCTTCCTGAATTAACTCAACAGGTTGTGCAAGTAGTAGTGCTGCCTGGAGGGAGGTGACCAGAATTTGCCATGGACCTGCAGGGAGAACAAAATTGGAGATCTCAATTAAGATTAGTTGAAACAGATTTGCGACAAGGCAGTAAAAACATAATCCCCTCCACTGAACATGTTTTAATCGTGTGTTTATTAACACGTAGTGAAACATACAGGTATAGGATATGCAGAGGAAGTCCAGTCTGGAAGTAACAGTGCAAAAAACATTGCAGCCAAGGAAAAAGCCTCCCTTGTAACATTGGTTCATCAGTCTGTTGGTTGTCAAAACAAACAAATAGGTTTCTTATGTGAGAGAATCTGCCCTGTAGTTGTTTCAGTTGCCTTGAAGGATGTTGTATCAAAAGCGTCAGTTTAAAACTCTCCTTCTGAAACACTGTCAGCAGAAGCTGCATCGTGTTGGCAGAGATTTAGCTTCTGATGTTTGACTTCTGGTAGTGGTAAAACCTTTCTTTCAGAGGATGTATATACTGGAAACAAATATATTTGTGCACGGATCTAGCAGAGCCCTTGGAAAAGGCTAGTTTAATTATATTGTCTTTTCCCTTGAGTAATTTTACCTTTTCATTTGGCATCATCTTTAGTGTTAATTTCTACACACAATCATTATTGGGTTTGGTTTTTTTTTTTTTTTTTTTTTTTTTTTTTTTTTTTTTTTTTTTAAATAAAGTTTGTGGTTCAAAGAGGCTCTTTAGAATCGTGATACTAGTGAACACTGTAGTGGGGCATGGACAGTGAAAAAGGGCTGTCTTGAGTTATGAAGAGAGTCTTAGTAGTTTAACTTACTGATGGAAAGTAAATTAGTAGTTTTTCTCCCTACTATGTTTGGATTCCACAGTCTAGTGTTCTTGTCACATACTTTCTGTAAAGAATGATGTGGTAAGTAAATTTCATTTTGCCAGTGGTGTTACCATGTTACACCACTGAAACATCGAAGCTAGTAAATTCCTTTTTATTATACACCACAATTTTTTGTTCAAAGTGGAAATTTTTCTCAGTGGAATTTAAAAAATTCTAAAATTCCAGCCTGTAGCAAATCTAGTAATACAAAGTTATACTTAAAACCTAATTTATTTCTTCAGTAACGGTTTTGGTTACTGGTTGTTTATGAATGCGTAGGCTCATGGTTCTGTAAACCCCGTCTTGTTTACTGAAATTCTTGAGCAGGTTTTACAGCAGGGAGTTGAACATAACCATATTAACAAGCAGCTTTTTTTAGGGAATAGTATCACGCTCCCATAAAGCTGATATTTGTTTGTTTCAAACATAGAATCTTAATTTGATTTATAAGAATATTTAGGTGCAAAACATTCAGCAGCATAAACTTAGTTTTGTTAATTCCCCACATTCTTCTGTAGATACTGGCAGACTAAAACTTGTATAATTCTTCATGAAACTTAACCTCAGACTGCTTATTTGACCTGAACTTAAAATGAAGAAGAGGACTGTGGGGAGGAAAGAGGAAGAGGCGGCAACTGTGTACAAGTGACTGACGTTGACCTTAAGTTATATATTGTTGGTTTTATCTGTACTATTCTTTTCCTGTTGACAGGTTGAAGTCCTGTGGCTTCATTTGTTCACTAGTAAAAAAGCCCTGTTGGGTGGGGTTGAGGTGGAAAAGGCTTTGCTTCAGTGATTCCTGCTTTTTCACAGGGATGTGTTTAAGAGTACATAGTGCTGTGTTCCCTGCAAAGGAAAGCAGGAGCTATTTGGGTACTGTTTCTCTGAATGGCCAGGAGGAGACTTGTACGGAATTGTGTTCCTTCCTTACATTTTGCAGGTTTAAATTTTTTTTCCACAGCGATTTCCCCAAGGTTTAGTTGGTGATTATACAAAGGATTTCTGTTATTAGGACTGTGTAGGTTTGTAGTTCAAGTTGCTTCCCTGAGGAGTCTGAAGAAATTTAGGAAGAACCCATGCAATTAGTGCTTACAGTCTTGGCCTCTTTATAAAAAAAGGAGGGTGTTCCTTAAGGAGTGCATGTTTATATTTTGAATGCATGTACTTGTGCACACATGCACCTGTGAGTCACAGAAAATGGATGTATTGGATGCATGTCCCAAGTTAGTGATTGCCTTGTACAGTGTATTTGTACTGTGGTATTGCAATGATATCTGCAGTAATTATCTTTAAATGGAAAAAAAGTAGTAGTTCCTGTGGTGAACTAATAGAAGTTGATATGTGATAGTTGGCAGATGAGTTAATGTATTTGAGAACTGGAGAATTGCAGTAAGATCCTTCAGCAAAACAGGATAATATTCTTAATAGCTAAATATGTCCATTTTCATAGGGATTGGGTGTTCATAATAAAAGTGTCACCTTCATTTCATTGTGTATGAGACTGAAAGAGTTGGATATTCAGAAGGTAAGTGTATATGAATAAATGAAGAGAGGAGAGTCTGGATCCCATTAATTCTTGGTTATCTCTAAGCTGGTGAGGGTTTTATGCTTTGACAAGTTTTTTTCTTAGTCCAGAATGATTATTTAATAGTATGGGTTGTAATGATCCATACTCTGTTCTGTTACAGGCACCTGTTGAATATGCAGGCCAAGAATGAGGCATGCTATGTCTGCAAACTTCCTGATTCCAGAATGGTTAGCATTAATCTACCTAGCCTGGATTTAAAATGATTGCAAGGATTTAACAGCATGGATTTTAGTATAGCCTGTTTCAGGCTCACTAGAAGTCTGGGTGCTTAATCACTGCAATCCTGTGCCCTGAAAATTGAGGGTTTTGTAAAATTGAGTTCTGTAGCTTGTGTAAATGTGGAGAGCTGTTGGTAGATTAAATACATACATTATTCTGTGAATTTTTCCTAGCTCTCCCCTTAAGGTGGTAGTAGTGTAACTTAGAACTAGTAAGTATGTACTTAGTACTTTGTATGATTACAAATGTATACTGATTAATAAACAAGATGTTTTCTGTTTATTAAACAGGAAAGCAGCTGATTCTGCTATATTAACATTTTATGGGACTGGCTGGTGAAGAATAAGCGATTGTTGTGTTTTGATTTTTATGCATTGTTCAGCTTGCACATTGCTGAAGTGCATTGTGCTGTGCTTCTTAAACTTGAATAGCAGCACAATTTTGCAGTTAAATATTTTCATTGTTTCAGGTGAGTAATAAGAATCAGCGATTATATAAATCTGAGACATTGAACAGACATGAAATTTGTGAGTTCCACAGGTGTGGAATCATAAGAAACCCCCCAGTAAGTTCACGTACTGAATAAAGCATCAAAACCCAGCAAGGAAAAAACCAAACTAAAACAAACCAACAAAAATAAATAGTCCCCTCCCTCCCCAAAAAAACCAAACCCCCACAACCAAAGAAGCAGCAAACAAAAACCAGTAAACCCCTGACAGAAGAAACAGCAGAGCAGCAAAATTTGGACTACTAGTGTTATTTCCCTGTTTTTTTACCTGTAGAGAGCAAAATACTTTATTAATTTATAAAATGTTTTGAGAACACATGGAGCTGCTACTACTACAACTGCGCTGACCATGACATTTGCTAAATTCATGCTTCAGAACAGATGCATCAGCTCAAAATACAGCATTTCTCTACAAAGCTTCAAAGACAATGTTTCTGGCAATTCAGAGATGAACAATTAAATAATTTCATCTACCTAAAAGTAAAAGGTGTATACTCAGTGGTAGTCCTTTTATAACTTTCCTGGATCAAATCCCTTCCTTCTCTTGCTCTCTCCCTTCTTATATGCATTTTGATTTTTTTCCTTCAGTTTTTCAGTACCTTCTTGAGCCGTACAACCAAATTTCTCTGTGCCAGACTAAGTAAAATAACTGCTTTGCTCTCTTAATTGGTGTTCTCTTCTTTAAATATTAGTGGCTTAAGATTAGCCCCAGCTCCATGTTTTGAGTTTTCTATTGGGTGCACAGATTCAAGGAAGCTGACTAGTAAATTGGAGTGATGCTCAGAGCTGTCACCTGTGAAGATCAGAATTCACACTTTCCACTTGAGATCAGAGAAGATTGGCTTGCTTTTCAGCCTAATTGTATTCACTGCTTATGCATAATGCAAACCCACAACTTAACTGTGCTCCATTTGATGAAAGATAAAGATCAGTGCTTACTAGACAGGGTGATGCTAGCTTTACAGATCCCATCAGCATCAAGCATTAGTCATGGTTTTTTATGTATAAAACATAGCATACA